TTTACATATGTGATGTAATGTAATATTATCGAACTCTATATCATCTTAAATTAACAAAACAATATGACTGTTGGTAAGCACCATCGAATCAAGACAAAACAGCCAATAAAAGAAAATTGTGATTTCCGACTCAAACACCATTAAGCAGACTCGCAACAAGACAAGAATTCACCTTCGCAACTCAATCCCACCGTCTCAAACTTTTCAAGGCATTACATCATTTATAACGAAGCCTAACACTTTATTAATTTTCAGTTGAAATTTTAGCATCTACGAGGCAACTGTCTTGCTCTAGAACTCACCCTTCAGCAGCTTAAGGCCGTTCCAGGCATTTAAACAGTAGCTCTAGAGACAGATTAAGAGTGAAAGAGAAAGCGATATAGAGTGAGTTTTGAAAGTAATTGCATCAGTGACAAATTCAGCCTGCTTGTTCCAAACCTTATAGCAACCTTATAGAGTCAGTTTAGATTTTATGCTATTATATTTCATATTTGGTGCGACTAGGGATGTACGCTCGAGTAGCTCGGTCAACAGTTTGGCTTGAATTCGGGTTGACCACTAGAAGAGGGTAATGAGTACATTTTATGTGGTCCAATCAAGGTTTTTAGCCCTGCCAAATCTGATGTGCTTTGTGCTAAAGACCCCAATTTTGCCTATAAAATGGGAGTTCCATCTACATTTGATTCTCGTCATTGCCTCCATGTTTCTTCATCCTATGGTTTAGTACTTATGAGTGGCGCATATAATTTTGGGAAGACCTTGTATTTATGGAATCCTTGTATTGGAAAATACAAGTGCATTTCCTCTTCATACATTGACATAAAGGAGTCAAATAGGCTAGGTAGTTCCTTGGCTGTTGGATTTGGTTATCTCAACCAAGCAAATGACTATAAGATCGTAAGAATTGTGTACATTGAAAAAGATGATGATCATTTCTTGGATGAGGACAATGACTATATGGATGGTGATGATCATGATGATGTTGGTGGTGATGGCAATGAGATAATTGAAATGGAGATTGATGAAGATATTAGTGCTAGTAAGGCTGAGTCAAGTAGTAATTAATGACGATAGAACTACAGAGGTTGAAGTTTATTGATTGACCAGAGATTCTTGGAGAAAAGTTGAAATCCAGTCTTTTCCGTGGTTCTTGTGTGATTACTTTACCAGAGCATTCGTTAACAATTGTGTCCATTGGATGGTGTTCTATAGGCGCGTCAACGAGGATGAATCGATGATTTTGGCCTTTGATCTTGAGAAAATTACAGTGCCTCATTATGAGGACGATGTAGCTGAATATGTAGAGAGTATTGTTCATAAGGAAGCTCTTGGTTTTGTGGTCATTTATCCTCAAGAAACAACTGAACTTTGCTCTCTGTGGGAGATGAAGGAGTATGGAGTGGTTGAATCATGGAGTAAAGTATTTAGTGTCGAAGTTGGAGGGACAATTTATAGGGGAATGACCAAATTATGTTTAAAGGGGAAAATCAAGGCTTTCGTCTTTATAGCTTTCGAAGTCAAGAGATTAAAACTGTCACAGTTAAACTTGATTCAGATGAGCTTGACTTTTTGTCCATGGTGGATAGCCAAAAAAAAAAAAAAAAAAATTGTTGGGAATTATTTATTCAAATTGCAATAAAGATTGAATTTAATGTAATTCACTACTGATTTATGATCTTTTGTGTTTTTGTTGGTCCTTGTGAGTTTTTTTTTTTCTTACCATCATAGTTCTTTTCAATAAGAAAAAAAATGTAGGTTTCCAATTCTGTAGCAGTTATCTCTTTGGGATATATTGACCAAAGTTTATTATCCAATTCAATTTTGTCCATTAATATATTTTTAAGATAATTCAATGGGGATCCGTAGAATTAGTACTTAGTCCATATATACTTGGAGAGGAAAAGTTGTTGGAGTAAAAGAATTTAATTGGGATCGAAGTTCTAGTCAATTATATCAACAAAATTGTTTCATTACTTGGATAAGGAAGGAAAACGGGATAATGGGAGAAAGGAAAATCAGATGATAGGAGATTGGGAGTTCAAGTTAAAGTGAATCCAGAGTGTATAATGCGTGTACAATGATTTGTCGAGTTTTCAAAAAGTTGTGATTATATATGTGTGTGTGATTACACTACCACGCGCGCCCACAAAAGATTTTAAGTGAAAAGAATTGGTGATTAATAGCTTATCAATTAATGTAGCTATCATGAATGTAAGACGCTCCAAAAACGAGAGAGAGAGAGAGAGAGAGAGAGAGAGAGAGAATCCATAGATGCTGACACAAATGTAATACTCCCTCCGTCCCGTTTTGTTAGTTTTGATTTTTTTTTTTTCACACAAATTAAGAAAGTATAATTAATTTGGTTGGAAACATAAATTTAGATTAATAATTTCCTAAAATACTCTTATGCTAATCACGAAGAGTGCTAATTAATATCAGTTACAGGGTTAGTATTGAAAAAGCTCAATGTATTCAATGTAGTGGGTTAGTAGTTAATAACAATGTATTAATAACAAGATATTTAATAAGGATATTTTAGACAATTTGAAAGATTACTACATTTCTTAATGAGAAATTGGACTATAATTTGGGACAGACGAAAAAGGAAAACAAAACTATCAAAGTGGAACGGAGGGAGTATATCCAACATCTAGATCATAAATTTATGATGAAAATTTTTACCAAAAAGAATAATAAATAGATAAAAATTTTAAACGCTAAATCTTTTTTGGGGGTGTCAATCGGAGGCCTAACTGCCAATTACATAATAATAGCACAATCAACCAAGGAAACATTCATAAAATTTATTGATAATAGAGGCTTATGAAATAAAGCGCCCCGAATAAAGTGCAAATTTAAACTCATCTTTTCTAGGAGATCAACATGTGTATTGCCTTTCCGCCAACATTGCGACCGCTTGCATTGCCACTCGCGACTAAAAAGTTCCCAATTTTACATCAGCTTGAAAGCTTATGATGAGCAAGCTGGATGATGTTCTATGTTGAAGTATTCAATTGCCAAGCCGGATGCATACCCTGTGCTTAACAGCAAGCAAAACCAATTAGCCAACGTCCTTGATCCTTTTGCAGAATGCCCCACCCCTGGCTACACTATGCCAAGTTGAGGAAAATTCCACCCTGAGAGAATATCTCTTTCTGGAAACAGTTGACTGCCCACAAGCTCAAACTTTGAAGGCTGATGCCCAGTCTCCACTCAATGTTGCTATCTGTTATTACATTTCAACCACTATTTTTTTTTGGTGAGATTGTAACTGAAATTAAAAGTATAAGTATTTTTATTTATTTTCACAAATTAAAAAAATCAAGGGGATTACATTAATGAACATAGATATACCAACAATGTATTTATGATGTAAAGCACAGAGTGTTTCTGATGGAATTAAAGTTTTTTAAAAATAATAACCTATCCAAAACAAATCAATTTATTTACCAAATTAGACTTTGTTTGGATTGTCATTTTTTTTCAAAAAAAAAATTATTTTTTCATAAATATATTTCTCGGTTATCTTATTATTCTACATACATTAAATCTTTGTCGTGCATTTTCCTGCAAAAATTTTTAAAAAATTCGAATAGGCTATTTCATTAAATAGTTTTTCTAACGGGTGCATTTATATTCACCTAATATACCATATATATGTATACGTACTAACAATTACTATCCTTTTTATTTGGATTCTCCGTTTTTTCAAACAACAAGTTTTTAATATATAATACTACAGCATATATATATATATATATATATATATATATATATATAAACAAAAATAACTTCAAAAATACTACACTCATATAATATATCAAAAGGAACTCTAAATATACAAAAAAATTAAAAAATATACAAAAAATTTACATCATCTTCTTTTTTTTTTCCATCTATCACCACTACCCACCACAGTCACCACCACCATCCCCTTCTTCCTCCTCTTTTATCTCCCTCCCCTTTCCTCCTCCCCCTTTTTCATCTCCTCTCCTTTTCTTCTCCCCTTCTCTATTTCCCTTCATCTTTCCACTCCTACCACACCCCATCGAGGCCATGTATTAGAAGAGGGGAGAGGCGTGGTGTGACGGGAAAGAGAAGTGCAGGAGGGTAAGGTAAGGGAAGGGAAGGAGGAGAGAGAGGGAGAAATAGGAAGAAAGGGAGGGAGGAGGAGGAGGAGAAGGAAGTGGGAGGGGGTTGTGGCGGTGGTCGGTAATGGTTATGGGTGATAATACTAATTTTTAAAAATATCTTAAAATTTTAAAAATACTTCAAAATACATTCCAAAACATCTTCAAAAACATCCACCTTCCCTTATATTTTCTTATTTTCTTTAATTAATTTTATATTTTTAAAAATATGATATTTGAAATACTCTCTCCGTCCCACTTTGATAGTCCTGTTTTCCATTTTCATCTATCTCAAATTGTAGTCCACTTTCCAATTGAAGGATGTAGTTATATTTTAATTTTCCTAAAATACCCTTATTTAATGTAAGTTGTTGTTACTATAAACCTACCCCATTTAATGAGAGTTGATTTTTTTTTACTATCAATTTAAGTTTTCATAAAATTGTATTCTAATTAATGTGAGGATATTTTAGAAAAATAATTATTTAAATTGATTATTTCAAAAAAATTAACTATTTTTTTTAAATTGTACGGAAAAAAATCAGAACTATCTATTTTTTCCATAAGTGCTGTCACCTGTTATGAAGACCAGCAGTCAACTATTCAACAGGGAAGCGTTGAGAAAGTTCCTAAGCCTACGAGCTTTGACCGCCTTCGGGTGCCATAAATCGGGTGGTGGCCAATTTTCCTAAATTAAATAAACAACTGACTATTGGGTAATACGCGTAAGGGAATCTTAGTCCGAGTCCAACAAGGCTAAGACCTCTTTTCAACCGTCCAGATCACGGATGACCGCCTCATCCCAGCCGTTCATTCCCTTCCCAAGCATCGATAAATACCCCCCCAATCCCGTCCGTATTAACCGCCTTTGCCCGCGTCTGTGTGTGTGGTAAGAAATTATAGCGTAAAAATTAATTCAGTTGTGTCTTTTTTTTGTCTCAGTAGAAGGTTAGGATCTTCAATTGATGATCGTCGCTGGGTTCGATCGTTGCGTCTATGGTTTGATGATTTGATTATTTTGAAGCTTATTATCGCTAATTTTTTTGATGGCGATTTTTGAGGTTTAATCATGGTTGTATTTCGAAGGATTGGACGGGAAGGATACGAGTTTTTGCGCTATTTTGGGTTTGTTTATGTGGTAATTTCTGGATCATTCCAATTATCGGACAAACTTGACATCAAATTTCCTTCAAAATTAGCCCTGTTCTGGTTCTTCTTTCTGGTTTTCTTGCTGTGCTTCTTGTAGAATCATGGATTTCGGGCAAATGGAGTGGGAAGGAACTCTCTCTTGGATGGATGTGAGCGTAATCTGAATCTGGAGTTTTTATTTCGTCCATATTTGTGGTTGTTATTATTGTTGTGATTGCTGTAGGCGGTGCTCTGGACTTTCAGTAGTTTTGGTGTGGTGTCGATGGAGGATTGATCAGAAAGATTGAGTTTTTACTATTGTTGGGTTTGTTGATTAGTAATTTCTCGATCGTTCTTTGTTATCTAGATTTTTCGCCTTTTCTTTTTCTCGTCTTTCCTTTTTCTGGTTCTTTTGATGTCCTCGTTGTGGCGTGGCAGAATCCTAGTCTTCGGTGGGGCTAAAAAAGACTCTTCCTGGATGCGAATATCATACGATATCGGGAGTTTTTCCCTCGTCCCTCTTTTTGGTCTCCTTTTTTATTTCCTGAAAAAAATTAACCGGGGATTCAATTAGTAACTGGCCCTATCTGTTGTATTGATATAGGGGATCTTGGATGCAGGAGGGTCTGGTCATGTTTGTTACCCTGCTATACTGGTTTACGAGATTCCAGAGAAGTTTTCTCTGTCCTTACTTGTTTTCTGTTGATTGACTGGGAGTTTTGTGGCTATAGATGCTGATTTGCTCTGTGAGACAGCTGTGTTCGTTTTCTGATTTCCTGCATTACTTTTGTGTTGTGCAAGATAGGGTTCCAGGGATTCGGAATTGTGGTGACAACTGAGCCTTCCTTCCTCGGATGGTAAACTGTTTTGGAGGGAGTTATCTTCTTACGAACAATCTCGTTCTTGAGGAATTTATGCTTTTGGCACCTTTTGATATGACTGTTTTACCGAGTTTTTTTTTTTTTTTTTTTTTTTTAAAGTCCAGGACAAACACCGTTGAAATAGCTTTCAACCTCTCCATTCAATTTGCCTGCACCTTTTTTGCTTGTTCTTTATCAAAGTTATCTTTGCCTATTTGTTCTCTTTAGGCTTTTGAATTTATTTTAGTTCCATGCCTTCTCTATCTTTGGGAATGGTTCTCAGATGCTTAGGATCGTATCAATATGGCAATATTGATGTTGGCAAGTATTTTTTAGGTTTTAAATTCTGCCATCAAACATGTTTTTTCTAGGTATTTCCCAGTGTTATGGTGGTTCTTCATGATCCGAACAAGAATCAAGTTTATGCTTGTTATGTGAATAGGTTTATTGTAGATGAACGATGAACTGAATTTGTCAAAAATTGGTATTATTGAATAGTTTCATTTGTCAGTTCCCATCTTTGCGTCAAATTTCAGTTTTTGTTGGTTTTTTGTGTCGCTTGCAGAACTCTAGTGAGAGGGAGGTCTCTTGTATGCGAGACTCTGTATTAATTGGACGGATTTGAACATAATCTCTTATTTTGGGCTCAACGTTGGTGTTTTTGTCATTGCTTTAGGTGGTGTTAATATAGGTCGTGGCTCTGGGTTTCAGCAATTTCTCTGTGGTGTTGATTGAGATTTGATCTTGAGGTTTTGCAGTTCATTGATCTAGTCATTCTTGAATGGTTCTTGATGATGTTTCAAGGCTGTCTTTTCTTCTCTGGTTCTTTTAACGTGGCTTTAGAATGATGGAGTTCTGCGTATGCAAGCAAAGAGAGCTCTTCTTGGATGGATGGAAGCAAAAAGAGCTCTTCTTTTTTCAACAGCCTGAATCAGACTTTTGTTGTTTTATAAACCTAATCCCAGAATTAACCTCAAAAGCCGGCAACTCTTGAGGCAATCCCAGGGACTTATATCCCAACCCAAACCCAACCCCAACCCCGATGTGGGACAAATGTACCTATAGGGGGGACCTGCTGCTAAGTGGGATACTACCACCCAATCAAAAAGAGCTCTTCTTGGAAGGATGAATGTGATAAATCGGGAGTTCTCTTCTGCCAACCAATTCTTTCTTTGTGTTCTTTGCCTAAAAATCACTGGTGTTCGTTGGTAATGGCTTGTCCATTGTCTTCATTTTAGGGAAGCTTGGATCGGAGCGCTCTCGTCATGCTTGTTACCCTGCTATTCTGGTTTACAAGATTTTGGATGAGCTCTCTCTTTCCCTACTTGTTTTCTGCTGTTTCCTTGATATTGATTGGGAAATTTGTGGATTTGCTCTGCTTATTCTCTAATTTTCTATATTACTAGGATGTTGCAACTTAGGGTTTCAGTGAAGTGATTCGTGATTCAAACTTGCCTTTTCATCCTCAGATTAAGGGCTAGTAAAATCTTTTGGAGGGAGTTATTTTCTCACCTACACTAATTGTTCTTTTTGTGTTCGGGGAATTTAGGGGTTTCGACACCTTATTTATAATTTAAGTTTCCCATGTATCTTTTTGGTCTGGCAGCATGTTTTGCAGAGCCAACTTTCTTGATCCACGAGGAATAGAACGGGTTATAACCAAGTGCATGTCTCTGCTTGTTCAACAGTTTATTTCTGGAAAAACTGTCTATGAATGCTTTCAACCTATGCATTCAATTTGCCTAAGGTTCGCTTTCTTTTGGCTTTTGGATTTGATGGAATAGCTTAATTCAGGGCTTCTCTTTGGGGATGGTTCTGCACTGCTTAGTATCTAAGAGGAATTAAATTCCGTCACCAAGCATTTTGTATAGGTGGGTTCCTGGTATTTTGCTCATTATGCTTGATTTGAAGAAGAATTAAGGCTATGCATATTGGTTTGATGGTATGGTAAATTATTGACAAATTTTATTTTAGGATTATTCTCGATCTTTGTGCCAAGTCTTTGTTGGTCATTCATGTTTTCATACTCCCTTGCAGAACTCTACTGAGGGTGGTGATAGAACATGGGCTTTTGGATGCGATTCTTCTTTAGAATTATGGGATTCCCTTCTAGAATTGTGGAATGGATGTGATGCTTTGTTTTTGCATTGCTGGTGGCAGTTGCTCTGGTTTTTCAGCAGTTTCCCTATAGAGTTCATTGGTAAAAAGGACTTCACGTTAATTGCTGTGTGTGTTGTTCTTGGTGATTTTGCAAGATTTGTCTTTTCTTCTCTGGTTCTTTTGATGTCCTCTTTCAAGAATAGTGGATTTCTGGTGTGGAGGCGAGAAGAGCTCTCTTGGATGGATGTGAATAAAATTGGGAGATTTTCTTTTCAACCTGGTTTTTCTTTGTTCTCTTTGCCTGAAAAAATCACTGGGGATGGATGGTGATGGCTTCTGTCTGTTGTCTTGATTTTAGGGAAGCTTGTTCCAGGAGCGTTGGTGTGTTTGGTACCCTGCAAATCAGTTTTTTAACAAGATTTTGGATGAGCTCTCTCTTTCCCTACTCTTTTGTTTTGTTGGCTGTTTTCTTCAAAAATGATTTTCTTTACTTGTTATCTAATTTGCTATATTATTTTGTGTTGAATCTAGGGTTTCAGTGATTCGGAGGTGTGGTTGAAACTTAGGTCTCTGTCCTCAGATCAAAGGCTGCTATATTATTTTGGAGGGTTTATCTTCTTACCTATGCTTATGGTTCCTTTTTGCTTGAGCATTGTGCTGGTTTTGGTACTTTTGGATGTCCGTGCAGTATTAAATAATCTAAATTTTTTGTGAATCTGTTCTTCCATAGTCACCATGTTTGTAGAAATACCTCATGCATTATTTGTTATGTCAGTAATTGCTTAGAAGTCTGTTCTTGATCCTCGAAGAAAATGTATCACTGCTTAATCCCAATCATTAATTGTTGGACACCTCCAACCAGCCCATTCAATTCACATGCACCTATTTTGTGGCTTCTCCATTAATTTCTGGCTTGCTTAATCCCATGGCTTCTCTACGTGTGGGGAGCGGTTCTCAGATGCTTAGGATCTTACCAGTATGGCGATTTTGATGTTCTGAAGTATTTCTTAGTGTTCAAATTCTGCCATTAAACCTGTTTTTTCAGGTCGTTCCTGGTGTTTTGGTGGTTCGTGATGATCTGAACAAGAATCAAGTTTATGCTTGTTTTATGAATAGGTTTGGTGTTATGATAGATGATCTAAATTTGTAAAAAGTTGGTATTGTTGGTTCGTTCCATTGTCAGTTATCTTTGCATCAAATTTCAAATTTTTGTTGGTTTCGTGTTGCTTGCCGAACTCAATAGTCAGGGGGAGGTCTCTGGGATGTGACTGTGTGTGAATTAATTGGATGGGTCTGAATGTAATGTAAAATCTGGAGCTTTTATTTGGACCTATGGGTGGTTTTTTTTTTTTTTGTTGTCTAGCTGGAGTTGCTATAGGTGGTGGCTCTGGGTTTCAGAAGTTTCTCTGTGGTGTTGAGAATTGATCATGAAGGCCTACACTTTGCGGTTTTGTAGTATGTTGAGTACTTCTTGAATGTTCCTTGTTGATTTTTCAAGATTGTCTTTTCCCCTCTGGTTCTTTTGGTGTGGTTGTCTTAGAATGGTGGAGTTCTACATATGGTGGCAAAAAGAGCTATGGATTGACGTGGTAGATCAGGAGTTCTCTTGTTCGTTCCTTTTTGCCTAAAAATCACTGGTGTTTGTTGGTAATGGCATCTCGATGTTGTCTTCATTTTAGGATAGCTTGGATCACAAAGCATTCTCGTCATGTTTGTTACCCTGCTATTCTGGTCTACAAGATTTTGGAGAAAGCTCCTCCCCTACTTGTTCTGTTTTTTCCTTCGAATCAATGAGAGATCTCTGGATGGTAGATTTGCTCTGTCTGTATTGTTTGTGCATGAGGAATTTAGGGGTTTTGACACCTTATTTGTAATATTTCTTATTTTCTTATTGTGTCCGTTATTTGGTCTGGCAGTAATTTCGGCAGAGTTGACTTTCCTGATTCATGAGAAATAGATGGGGGTATAATCAAGCGTATCTCTCTGCTTATTCTCAACTTTGTTTATTTCTGGACTGTATGAATCACTTTCAATCTGCCCAGTCAATTAAGCTAAAGTTATCGTACCCAATTGTTCTTTACTTGGCTCTTGATGGATTAGCTTAGTCCAGGACCTCTCTTTGGGTGATGGCTCTGCGGTGCTTGGTATCTAACGGTAATTAAATTCTTTTATCTAACATGTTTGTATAGGTAGGGATTTTGGTGTCGCTGATTCATCATGGTCTGAAGAAGAATAAATGCTACATATATTGGTTTTGATAATATGGTAGATGATCTACAATTTTTATTTCAGTTTTGTGCCAAGTTCAGTCTCTGTTGGCTGTTTATGTTTTCACTCGCTTGCAGAATCCTCCTGAGGGTGGTGACTGAATATGGGCTTTTGGATGTGATGATTCTTAGACTTATTGGATGGCTGTGAACGTAATCCGTTATCTGGAGTTTTGCTTTCTGTATCACTGTTGCATTGCTGTTTGTTTCGATCATGGTGATGTTTCAAGATCTGTGTTTCTTCTCTGGTTCTTTTGATGCCGTCTTTCAAGAATAGTGGACTTCTGGTGTGTGGAGGCGAGAAGAGCTTTCTTTTGCATAGATGTGAATTAAATCGGGGGCTTTTCTTGGCAACATGGTCTTTCTTTGTTCTCTTTCCTTGAAAAATTCACTGGGGATATTTGGTGATGGCTTCTATCTGTTGTCTTGATTTTAGGGAAGCTTGAACTGCGAGAGTATCATCCTGCTACTCGGTTGTGATAAGATTTTGATTTGCTCTCTCTTTCCCTACTCTCTTTTAATTTTTTTTTGGGTTCATTTTCTTGAAAAATGATTTTCTCTACTTGTTCTTAATTTGGTATATTATTTTGTGTTAAGTCTAGGATTCCAGTGATTTGGAGGTGTGGTGAAAACTTTAAGGTCTCTATCCTCAGATCAAAGGCTAGTACATTATTTTGGAGGGCGTTTGTCTTCTTACCTAGTCTTACCATTCCTTCCTCCTTGAGGATTTTTTGGGCTTTGGTCCTTCTGATGTGTGTAGGCTATTATATAATTTAAATTTAATTAAAAATTTTCTTGTTTTTGGAAATACCTTATGCATCAAGGAAGAGAATAGCAATTGTGTATGACTGCTTAATCCCAACTGTTAATTATTGGTCACCTGCGACCTGCCCATTTAATTCACTTGCACCTATTTTACTTTCTTCTTCATTAATTTACAATTAGCTTAATCCCAGGCTTTTTCTTTCTTTGGGGATTGTTTTATTGTAAATTTATCTAATTCTGCCATTGAACTTGTATGTATAGGCGGTTCCTGGTGTTTTGATAACTCATCATGATCTAAAGAGAATTATCGTTAGGCTTCGTATTTTAATCAGTTCTGATGGTATGTAATATAATTTAAATTTCTGGGTAGTTGGAACTAATGGACAGCTCTGATATTGGTTTTCATCTTGGTGTCGAGTTTAAGTTGGGTTCTGATGTCCTGGTACTCCCTTGCAGAACTCTAGTCCTAGCGAGAGGACTGTGAAGAAATAGAGGTCTCTTGGATGATAATTCTTTTTCAGATATCCATGGTACTGTGGTTTGAATCATGGAATCTCTCTTCATGTCATTCTGTTATTGTGTTTGTTGAGAACATCACTGGCGCATTATTCAGGCTTTATAATTTGTTTAATTCTGCAGATTGGATTCAGGAGTTTTGATCATGGTTAGGTTTTTCAAGTAATAGGGTCAAGGTAATGGTTTAGGCCTTATGGAATTGAGTTGTACGGTGGGATGTTTCACATATATTACATCAATTCATTAGCTTTTGATGGATGAATTCTGAATTAGTCATGATGGTTCTCCAGATATGCTGTGTTTTCAGCGTTTTTATTATTGAGTTCATTAGCGAGTATCGAAAGAAAAAAGAGGGGGAATAGGAATATTTGGTTTGTCATGTTTTTCAGGGTCTATTATAAGTTTTTGGAAAATTTTGACCTCAATTAGCTTCTTGATATGTCAAAACTCTCTCTGTCACTATTTGACGTTTTTGTTATAGAATAACAGATGGGGTGAATTATTAGGAGATGCAAAGAACTTTATTGGAGGGATGAGAAAATTTATGGTTCACCATGATCCGGATTGATTTCTCTCTCATCCCTACCTGGTCTGTCATATGCTGAATGTGATGATTGTTGGGCTCATTATTAACTTGAGTCTTATTTGGTTTCCATTTAGGGAGCTTGAATTCAAGAATTTCTTGTCTCATCTGATTTTGTGGTCTGTATGATTTCAGAGGAGTTTCTCTCTCTCTCTGATATCCCTACTTGGTCTGTTGCATTTGCTGAGTTGTTATTAACTTGGCTTTATCTGGTCTTCATTTGAGGGAGCTTGAATTCAAGAATCTCTGGTCATTTTGTCACCGGGTATTGTGGTCTGCATGATTCCAAAGGAGTTTCTTCTCTCTTGTGGTTGTGTTTGGTTCTCTTTGTACAGTACTACGTAGTTTTTAAAATTAAATTACGGCATTCAATTTCAGGAAGGGCTGGGAGTTGAAGTCAGATCTGTGTTTTCAAGCCTGAATTTCTGCATTACTAACCCATTCTACCTAGCTTCTGCACAGTTATCCTAATTGCATACTACCGATCAACATGAAATCAAAACAGATGTAGAGGTTTCTTATCCTGATCATTTGTAATGGATATGTCTGAGCTTAGCCGTAGTGTCATTTTGTTTGTCCAGGTTTATTCATGATGGTGGTGTTAATATACTGGGAAGTTTGCAGAATCTGCTTTGATAGTATGAGCGTTATCTGGAGTTATGGTGGTATTTAGCAGAGTATTGTATATTCTGTAGCAAGCATGCTTATTCCAGTGAATTTAAGATATCTTTACCTCAGCCAGTTCTTGAGTTCAATGTCCAGAAATTGGGATTTCTATTTCTGTTTCTCCTTTTAAGTCATATGGATGGAAAAGATGAAGTGCTTTCTAGTCTGCATGGAATTTGATTTGACGACTTTGAATGTGGAAACTTCTGATATACTATGGGGTGTGGCCTAAGATGCAACTCAGTATGGATTATCAAGTTCATGGTCATGGTCAAGTTGGGGGTGTATTTCTTGCCTCCTATCCTTTCTTGGGTTTTTTGTATGTTTTAACTGGTTTGTCCGTTACTATGCACAATAACTTCAACTGTTTCTCCATCACCATTGAGTACTCGCTGCTGGCGTTCATTATCTACAATTGAGTGGAAGAGAGCAGTGTCAGGTGGTTATTCTCACTTCATAAGCAGATGCCGGTTCAATCTTGTTAGAACAGATGCATGCAATATCTGTTTTCAGAGTCGTCGACTTGCATACAACTGGTATCAGTACTGGTATTGTTAAGTCATGTAAGAACAGATGCGTGCAATATCTGTCTTCGTAGTCATCAACTTACATACCACTGGTACTGGTACTGTTTGTGAATTTCATTTCATACTTGAATTTTGTGATCCTCTGGTACATAGGTTTAGTATGCAACTTTAAAGTGCAACTGAATTTTGTTATCCTTGGGTTTATTGGACAATATTTGCTTGTGGCCTTTAACAGTTATGGTGTGGCATCAAGAGGTCCAATCTAAGATCTGCAATAGTTGTATGCGTTGTGGTTTTGGGAAGGTGGTTGCATCTTAACAGGCCCTGGCACAGGTGTATTGTGTTCATATAACCAATCATAAATGATTGACAGATTGAGAGGAATCCAAATGCCCTTGTGTACAAGTCTTGAAAATCATTAATTTATTTGAAGTGCGTACAACTTTTGAGGTTGATTTCGGTGGATTCAAGAAATGAAAGAGTTCCCGTTTTCCAGGGCAACTTGTCATTCTCTGTATGATTTACCTGTGTAGCTTAAGCCCCTGTGATGTGTGTTGACTTTTTAAGTCCCATAAGTAGGGTCTATTTGTTGTTGGATGATTGCACTATGTAATTTTTGATCTTTTATCAGCCTTTAGCATTATGTAAAATTTTTAGCATCAATTTTTAAAATTTTTATTTTTATTTTTTTTAGTCACTTGAAGGAATGTGTGGTAATTTGTGATCTAATTGGTAAATTCAAGGCTGTCTAATGGGTTTGAAGGCCCCCCCTCCGTGTGGACACTTAAAAACCCTCCTCCCCGCGGCCCCCCCCCCCCAAAAAAAAAAAAAGGTATATTATTAAGGAAAGGTGTGCTGTGCTATTCGTAGAGTTCTCTTGTACTCTGGTATGGATTGTTGCAAGTCTATTTCGCTATTTGTGAGATTGCTGAGACGTTTGTAGCTTGCCTTTTGGTGGGGATAACTTTCTTCTCTATTGTTCTTGAATGTGGCTGGCTTGTATGCTTGTGCTGTTTTGTTTGGTAGGATGGCTTTGTAACTCCGCCTGTCTCCACAGACAGCCGGTCCCAAGCCCGGGCAAGAGGAGGAGGGAAAGCTGATCTTATGTGATAGTATTGGGAAATCACATCATCTGTTGCTCTTCCGCCTTTTTCTTTTGGTGGTGGATTTGTGGGTGGATGGGGCTCCATTCATGCGTACAATTTCTGCCCGACCACAGAACAAAGTCTCTGGTGGTTGTAGGGTTCATAGAACAAAGGAAGAGATTGGCCTAGCAGCCTTGTTACTAGCTTCATGGGATCATAATAGTTGTAACGCTTCATGCACTTCTATTAAGCTAGTTTCTTAGGCACTTAAAGATTGCAAAAATTATGGCCAAGTGGACAAGAGTCCAGTCTAGATTTTCACAACAAAATTTGCTTAATTGCCACTATACTTCAATCTTCAATCTACCTAGAAGTAGCAGATATTACTTGTAATGGATTCCCAATAATTTGTTTAGAGTTGATACATTACTCACACCAATCAACCTTTAGTAGAACAAAATGTTAGACCTACAGATTAAAACCCTTGATAGAGCAGTCTCATCCTAATTTTTTTATTTTTCCAAATATTCGTCTAATGGCAAAATCACTCTATAAATATAATGATGTTTTCTTAGATGATATCAGTTGCCAAAAAAGAATTTAATCAGACATTGAACTTTGGCCTAGATTCTTAACACGATATTCATAATTAAGAGTTCATCTAAAAGCAGTAAAATCCAGGTTAGATGATCTTTTCGACGGATATAGATGGTAAGAAGATTAATGCACATATTACCTTATGCCAAAGTGAAAACTCAATGCTATACCAGTATAGCGCAGGCATGGTGCAACATGTGTGCACCCAGGATTACAAACCTAAAAACCATTGTTCGCAAGTTCTTCTCTTGTAGAAGTTGAATTTGATGTCATAGATAGTGCAAAAAAGGAATTTAGTGAAATCCAAAAAGACATTGATCACAGCATTTATAGCCCAATTGGACAACAGTTCAGTCTAGACTTTCATAATCTAAACCAAGCAAGTCCAAAAAATCAAGAAAAAAAAAGTTATTAACTTCACTACTCATGTTCCAAAGTATGAAATTGGGACTAGTTTTGTACCTTTTGCTCTTGTATATGTAATTAATTACCTGGTGGTTCTGCTAGCTTCTGGGGTGGCTGGAATTTTTAGGTACTGATGCTACTACTATCAGCTCTCAAGGTTTCAGACAAGGACCTTCTGGGATGGGATGTATTCAGCTGGACATTAGTCCTACTTGGACTCTTGAGTGTGTAATGTTTACATTGTCACATAAAAATGTACATGCAAATATGGACTTTAATGGTGTATTTATTTTCTTAACATATCATATATTGAAATACATGCCATATTAGCTAGCTAGTTAAACATCCATTTTGGGGTGGTATTGTGAATGCACTAGTCTATAGTCTTAAGTAAAAATTTTTAATTTCTGTTTTGGAAATAACTAGGCCATGGATTTTTTTTTTTTTTTTTATACTTTTTCTTTTAGAATAATTAAATTAAATCTATATTTTTCACGAAGGTTGCACATTTCATCATCTAGAGCTTAGAAGTGCCCTAAATTGTTTCACACGAGCTATTAAAGTATGTTGGTCCAATTGTTTCAAATATGTGTTATTGCAATTCGAATGAAAGTGAGATGTTTAGACAGCACAATCTTGAATATTCAGTTTTCAATAATGGAGCTTGAATTCTAAGAGAGCATTCACTTCAGATCTTGAACTAAATTCATCTACTCTCGGCCCTTAATCGGCTAGAATTTCTTGTTGAGAGAAATTGAAACCAAATATATTACAACTAAACAACAGTTCTGCATACTAAAACGAACTAGCTAGGTTCAAAGTGTAGAGAAATTAAGATGAAGAAAAATTTTCTGGTTCGCTGCTGTCTGAAGTTTCATGATGAAGTATTAATGCATTGCAGTCGCCGGTAATATAGAGGGAAAAAGATGCGGCAGCTGCTCTATGTTAAGCTCCACACGATCAGCAGAAGTAGTGCAGTCTATGCCCTGATTGAACACCGATGGCTCTGGTCCAGCTGGGTTCAGCTCCTGGCGAGGAGCCCAATATGGTCCGTCCTCGATCTACTGGCTAAAACAACAACTTCCATCAATGGAGATGGCGGATTGCCCCCATGCAAAATGGGGTACGTCGCCAGACTTGGATGAAAATGAGAGTTCTCGTGGCCACCAATTAAGTCGGCCAACAGAAGCAGCAGACCTTACAAATATATAATCAATTTTCTTCATAGTTATATGCTTAATTATATCAAAGTACTAGTTGTAATTAGAGATATGCATATATTGATGTATGAATATTTAGTAGCAGTATTGGATAACACTCAACAGTAGGCATCAAATACGCAGAATTCATTAAAAAAAAAACATGTATATATATATATATATTTGGGTAGCTAAAAAACATGTTTTTTTTTTTTTTTTTCAGTTTCTGATATGGAAATGTCTTAGAAAATGAGGGAAACTGATGTAACAACAGGCTTAACAAAATTGTTCAAGAATTAGAATTGACAACTACGTAATTAAAGCATCTCTATATTCTTAAATTAAGATTTATAAAGATTAATTAAAATGCTCAAAAATACATTTATAAAGATTCTTGGTATGTATTGTGAGTTTTTTATTTTATTTTATTTTTTGGGTAATTAAGCATATTTATTTATGAGTTACAATTGCAGTAGGTGTGTCACTTAATTACACATTTAAGCTTAAATTGGGTACAACTTAAAATGTACTACAGGTGCTCCTTCTGTGACAGACACACACACATATATATATAGATGTTAAGAAGACAAATGCATATTACCTCATGTCTAAGTGGCAACTAAATGCAAATACCATTAATATAGCTCAGGCAAGGTGCAACATCTGTGCACCTCAGCAGATTACAGACCAAAAGTTGAACATGATGAGTAGAAGGAGTAAGGGTAATGAGAGCTATCTATGTAAAGGCATTAATTCAGGATAATTTCATACTTCAATTGAAAATAAGTTTAGGCTGGATGGATTTGTTTTCTTTTGCATTTCGATGTACTGATTGAGGAAGATAATTTCAATTCTCTAAAGTAAACCAATACTGCTTTGTTTGCACTATACAGAACTTCTCAAAGCCTCTAGCATTCCGAAGGTAAATAATTTGGCCTTGTTTGGGTTGTACTTTCAGTGGAAAATTTTTTTGAGTTTCCATCAAATTATTCATTTTCACATTTTTCAATTACCTTTTTACCTTATATACATCACACCTAAAAAAAAAATCGTCACATGAATTCTTCTACAAAACTCTCCAAAAAAAAAAAAAAAAAATGCAATCCAAATGGATTCTAAGTTTTCCTTTGGGTTGACTAGTTGTACTACTTGTATCATTTTCTATTTTTCTTTTTCTTTTTTTTGTGCGTACAAGTTTATCTGTGATTGATAGAAGATTAATGTTTGCTCAAGAAAACCTATCTTTTTAATATTTTCTTCTCGAAAAAGAGAGATAAAAATACTTGAGGGTGAGCTACTCATCCGAGAAGTACAGTCGAGAAAACTATTATTGTCATTAAATCTATTAAAGCCTCATTTCACATATTTGTTAATTGGTCCACGGATGTTCAATGGGCACTCGTTAATGTGAATAACGTTACTATAATTAATGAATTTTGGTATTTAAAAGGTGGTGTCTTTAGTTTTGGAAAACTTCTGGTAAGAAAAGAATTTTGCAAATGATAAAAAAGACCATTTCAAATAGATCAACAAATGTGGAATGAGAGTTTGACTATTTGTGTTTCAGCTTCATCTCTATTCTTTTCATTTCCTCTTTTTTTTTTTTTTGTTTAGTTGTCCTTTTTTTTTTTACAACATAAGTTTAAAAATCTAATAATTCATTTGTGTAAAACTAAGAACAAAAGTGTGCCCAACTTTGTGCCATTGTTTTTCCCTTTTTTTTTTTAATTTAAAAGAAGCATAATACTATCAAGACTCATATGTTTTTTCCAACAAATGTTAATATCTACTGTCAAGGCTCATAAAGTGACTTAGTTTTATACTCTTTTTTAACTATAAAAAGATAGTAGGTTCCCAAATTCTGAACCAAATCAAAACAAGACCGTTAGGGCTTATAAAAAAAGAAAAAAAGAAAAAAGAGACCATTATGAATTTGGAACTTTTTATCCCCATAAAATGACAAATTGAAAAGAAAAATACAATTTATTTTGGAAAAAGACATAGAACAATATATTTTCAAGACTTGTAAAAAAAAAAAAAGAATATACAGAGAGATAATAAATTCAAAAAACATCCACAAGACAAGCATACCATGTACGATATTCTAATTCTCTGAATTAAACAAGTTGTATACCCTCTAGAAATTGCCTTTGTTAATTTATATATACTCATAATCTATACTCATATTAAAGCCTTGTTTCACAAATTGTTTAACCAGGATTGGTGCTTCCTAAAACATAATCTATAGGGACGCAAGAATCATTTGCGCTATAATTTTTCGTGGATGGAGAAATCGAAGGAGGTTAGTTAGGGCCACTTCTCTGTTGCACTTTGGTGTTTGGCTTGTTGGCAAGTCTACCCTTGTACATGCAATCGAAACC